AAACACGGAAGTGACATCTAGTACACAGATTAGATCTAAATGAGACTTGTAGCAACTTTTTGGTTTAACAATACCTGGTGTTAGAGAGCATGAAGGATTTTTTTCGGCAGGAGAATCGTTTTGAAACTGCACGAGTTATGAGGTAGGTTTTGTCAAATGTAAAAGGGAGGTGGATGACGTCAGACAAAAAGTATGACTTCAAACAAAAAATCCCCCCCCCCCCAGCTCCCGGACGCCCCCCCCCCCACCCCCGGTGTTTTAAAATGTTAGGTCAAACGAAAACTTAGATGTTTAAATAGTTTAATATATCAAAAGTTCACAAACTAAATGATAATAGATGTTATGATTTCCTCTCCTCTCCCCCCCCCCCAAATATCGCTTAACTACTTGACTGAGATATTAACATAAATAATATACAAATGTCACAAGGACAGGGTACTTTCACACATTTTTTTCCGGAAGGTGGTGAGATGGGGAGGGGGGTGACGGGCGGTCAATAGTCGAATTAAATATAATAATGCTATAATGCAACACCTGTGACCCCCCCCCCACCCCCTTGAATGATGCTAGTTCTCTTTTTATTTCTACATCACAAATGGTGTATTCACCAAACCAGATTTAAACGTTTAAACATAAATCTCCACCTTTCTGCGGGGAACCGTTTCTCGGTCAGTAGAATACAGGGTTTATGTCTACGGGAGATAGCAGTTTAAAAACAATGATGGAAACGGAAATAGAAATTCGCAGGTGAAGTATGAAGTGAAACAAATAGGTTGACGTAATGGCTATTTATAAATTCTAGCGGAATTCTGCTTGGGTCAGCGTTTTTGAAATGTATTTATAGTATCAGATTAAAATGAAATGAGTTCAGTATGCTTGGTTGAGTTTGTTAAAGTAGCGAAAATGATTTGTACAAATAAAAACTTGCAAAGGTTTTAAAAAATGGTTTTGAAAAATCTATAAAAAAAAAAATAAATACGTGTAAACTTTATGACGTAACTATGCAGGCAGAGTGTCACCCAGCCAGGGTGCCTAAGTGGCTCGGAAAATAGAGAAAAGCGGCCCCTTCTTGAATTAAATTTTCAAAACGCATTTTTAAAAACATTTTTGTCGGCGGAGTACAGGTGCTACAAAGGCACGTGTCCGTTTACATACTGCAATATAAAATAAAAACAAAAAGAAATCGAAAGGGTCAATTAGTCTACATGAACACATTTTTTTCTTTAAATCAAAGCACTAATGATTAAATTAGCGTTAGAGCTCTAGGCTGCTAACACTATAGTCGCGAGTTCGAATCCTGGTTCAAGTGGACCATCACTGAGCCCACTAGGCTCTAATGGGTACCCAGCTCACGTTTGGGAAAGTAAAGGAGGCTGGGCATAGTTCTGACCACATTATCCCTTCATGTGCAATAGGGTCGTCCATAAATGACGTCACACTCGTAGGGGGGAAGGGGGGGTCCTTAATTTTGTGATGATGAGGGGGTTCAGATGGTGTGACGTCACTTGTTTGCATTATAAAAGAAATGATAGAAAACGAGTTTTAGCCGTTATTTCGCGTTTTAGAAAACTTTTTTAATAAATTGTAATAGGAATTGATCAAAATACTCTGTTGACAGAATTCAGACAAGATTTTGGAAAAATATCGATGTTTTAAGAAAAATTCAACAGCAATTTTGAGGCGGGTTGTAGCCTGAGGTGTGACGTCATTTTAGGGGGGGGTCTGGCTTTTTGTGACGATGTGTGACGGAGGGGAGGTAAAAATCGTCAAAAAAAGCGTGATATCATTTATGGATGACCCCAATGTCAAGAAACATGCACCCTTCTTTATTTTTAGGCCACAACAGCTCCGATCCCCGCGGTCCAACAAGATTTTCCCCGGTGTCACATAATACCCCCTGTCCCTAGCCAAACATGGAGCCATTAGATATTTCCCGGTGTCCCATACCACGCCTGTCCCTAGCCAAACATGGAGCCATTAGTTTTAACATTTTTAGAACCTTTTATAAAACACAGAAATTGAATGCTAAAATATGGTTCTGGTGGACTAAGCCCATCTGGTTATCAAACTGATGGATAGACCACAAACTGCATGGAACTGTCACAGAAACAGAGTTTCTTCCAGGCATCTCTTCCCCCGAAATTTTTTTACCGCCCCCCCCCCCCCCCGAACGAAATGAAATTTATATAATTTATATAGAAAATATATACTTTTAACAGTGTCCGCCCCCCCGAAGAAAGTTTACCGCCCCCCCCCCCCCCCCGAAGATTTCAAGTGCCCCCCGGAGAAAAAAGTCTGGAAGAAACACTGCACAGAAACAGACTCAACGTTTACAGTAAGGCGCTGGGCATCGGCACACAGAGGGGGAAACCTGTGTAACGGTCTCACCTTATTGTATTTATGTAACTTGTATGTAATGATGTCATCCTCGTCTATTGATGTCACCTCGTCTATTGATGTCACCTCGTCTATTGATGTCACCTCGTCTATTGATGTCATCCTCGTCTATTCATGTCACCCTTGTCTATTGATGTAACACTCTTCTATAGGTATCACCGTTGTCTAATGGTGACACCTACTTGTGTTGGTGTCATCCTTGTGTATGTGTCACGTGTTGTGGTACTGCCCCTGTTAAGTTTTGCTAACTGAGCCAAAACATCTATCCTCCGCCCCAGTGTCTCTTCCAGACTTTTTTCTCCGTGGGGACACATGATATTTTCGGGGGGGGGGGGGGGGGGAGCGGACACTAGTAAAAGTATATGTTTACTTTATAAATTCCATCTCGTTCGCGGGAGGGGGGGGGGGTTAGACTTTTTTCGGGGGGTGGGGCGGAGTCCCCCCCCCCCCCCCCCCCGAAGAGATGCCTGGAGGAAACTCTGCCTCCCCCCCCCCCCCCCAAGTGCAAATCGTTTTAGATAAAGGAATGTTTGTGTATGTAACTGGGGTGATGAAGCATTATTTAAAGTAGAGTATGGGCGTGATTGTGAGCTTTGTTTTTTTTATTGAATAAGGCTCTCGAACTTCAACAATGTTGAAGGAGCATCGCATGTGTGTAGGGACAGCGTGTGTGTTGTTCAAAATTTTTATAACTAAACACCTTATGAAGTGGACAATGTTGTGCTTTTAAACTCTTCTGGAATAACGCAATGAAACACCGTGTACGGTCGAGGAATTTATAAAACGCGAAAAACAAGTCGGAATAAAAGACGCGTTTATCAAGTCGCGTTGCCACAGTCACCACTCGCTTGTCATCTGTTATTTACAAGGCTCTCAACTTCTCCAAACTCCGTTATCTAGTCCTTTGTCTACGTCCACAAGTGTGTTCGCCAGTTTGACGTTCAACTTGACAGGACAGTAAAACCCACTTCAGACCCCAGCCACGAAACCGGTGAACTCGTTGTCACGGTACGCGAAGGTCAAGGTTAAAAGCCTCACTTTGGTTCATAACACGGCGCGCCAGCTCCCCAGCTAGATAGAACACGCTTCTAGTTAACAAAATCAGCACAATGTTGTTTAACTATCTTTTTGCGTTGGTTGAACTTGGACACTAATCTATATATAAATAATTCTCTTCACGGATACCATAGAAAACACCAAGTTGTAAGCGCGCCTAGCAGCCCCTCTCTTCCTCTCTAGGCATATCCCTACCACCAGGTCTGGTGAGCTGTGGTTCACGCTAAATGTTTATAATCGTAGAGCCGGGTTTAGTGACGGGTATTAGGGGCAGATAATTTAGTTTGAAACGATTTTAAACTTAGGGGAGGTAACTAAGAGAAGGCTGCTTTCACGTGGGGGGTGGGTGTAGGGGGAAAGGAGGGGGTTATCGTCCTTAACGACCTACTGATAGTGTTTTAAAGCAAATATTGTCAGTGGCAGCATTAGTACTGTCCAATTTACAAATTATGAATTACTGAAAAAGTAGAAAATAAACAACTAGATCTAAATAGCGGCGTATGATACGCCGCGGGTCGGCTCGTAATTGTTATTTTATCTCGCCCAACTTGAAACATTTTATAAAAGAATCATAGATCTAGTAATCCCCATTTGGTCACAACTAATTCAAAAAAAACAACCAACAACAAAATCAACGCATATTGATCCAACCTCCTTAAAATGACATCACGAAGTTCCACCTTCTTTCCCTTAGAATAAAACTCTTACTAAAGAAATCTTCGTCATTTTTGAAAATGCGGCATCACGTTTCTTATCCCCCCCCCCCCCCATTGCGTGGCGTCATTTTGACGACCTCGTGAATTAAAAAAAAACAACTGATAATGTGCTAGCCAGAAAGTGGGTGACACAGAGCTACAGAAATCTTGGGACCCTCGCCCGTGTCTCTCGCTCGTATCGACCAACCGGAACTAGCGCACTTGTTAACGATACACTATCTTAAACCCTCCCAATAATCAAAACCGCTAAGTTGTGGTTATCTAAGGTTCAAAACAAAGAGGTCTCCTTCTTTCACCAAGGGGTAACAAAAAAAAGGGTAAAAAAAATCACTGAAGATTACTGAGATTTGAAGTGTGATTCACGTACTGGGTTTATCTAAATGAAGTGGTTTTGTTACCACACCTTACAAGCAACATACAGATGTAACAGGAACTAATGGCAAAGGTAGGAGGTAACTAGCTTTAGGTTGTCTAGAGATCAGCACGAAAATGCGAAAGAGAGGCAGTAATTACCGGCCCTTCCCCCCCCCCCCCGTTACTTGTGTTGCAGAGATAAAAAATGACATTGTAAACAACATACCTGTGGGGTACCAAATCTCCACCCTGAGTTAAACATACCTGAATTGAGCTAAAGAAAAATGTGGGCTAAGCTGATGAAAGATTACTTAAGATTAAGAGGGTTAACAACAAAACCACATCTTTTGAACTCAAACCCTTCAGCTAAGTTACCTTGTGCTTTACCAAACTGCCCTTCTGGCTCATTTTATATCTTGGCATAAGTGTTTGTTTTTATTTTTGCACAATGAAAGATAATTAAAACAAACATGACCATGTTTTTTTAAATTTATTAATAAGCATACAACACATCTATTTTTGTCTCTTGAAAGTGAATTTGTATTGTGCTGCGCTTTCTTTGGTCTCTGGTACCACACACTTCTTCTTGTGGGTTTTGTCCTATTGAAGAAAATAATTACGCAAATCTCAAGTCAAGTTACACAATCTGTTACTGTAATAATAGGTGTTTTTGTTTACCCGACAGTAGTATCAGACTAAAATGGTTTAATTTCCCATAAATGATTGTTTTTCTCAAACAAAATAAATGCATTAGGTAGAATTTACACCACATAATGAAAATTAACCTTATAATTAAAATATTGTAAAAGAAAGAAGCTAAAACAAATATTTTTATCACAAAATAAGTAAGAAAGTTTAGCTCCATATTGAAAATAAAACTAGACCCACCAAGGCAAAAAGTTTGAATTCCAGCTTGTCAGAAATAATTTTTTCTATCACAAAATAAGTAAGAAAGTTTAGCTCCATATTGAAAATAAAACTAGACCCACCAAGGCAAAAAGTTTAGCTCCATAGTGAAAATAAAACTAGACCCACCAAGGCAAAAAGTTTAGCTCCATAGTGAAAATAAAACTAGACCCACCAAGGCAAAAAGTTTGGATTCCAGCTTGTCAGCAATAATTTTAAGTTCCCGCGCTCTGTCAATTCTCTTGGTTAACTCCCTGTAAGCTGCGTCTTTAGCTGTCATCACAGACTAAACAAAAAGAAATATTTACAATAGAGTAAGGGGCAAACATTACATAAAACTAGAGTTAACAATAAAAAAATTCTAATCTAGTAAACAGTTAACAGGGATATAAAAGATAATACCCTAAAAAAGGTAGTGGACACATTTAATGAACAAAGGGACATTACTGTAGTTGGTTAAAAAAATCATTAGATCTAGGCTTTTTTTTTTGTAAACCCTAGCATTTTTTAAATTAACAAAACATATCTCTATTAGCAGAAAGCTTTTAATTAATTTTATAAACCATGTTTCTTATAAAACAAGGCCCAGAGTAATCTTACTTCAAGTTCCTCAGAGTTTAAAGAGAAAGTCCCTGTTTTTAGTGCATCTAACTTTGGCCTGTTGAAAGCTCTGTCTATGAAAGCTGGATGAGTGTCAAAAAACTTGGCAGCATCAAAACTCTCAGCTGTTAAAAAAAATATCACATTTAAAAGAAATTTATTTAATCAATCATTATTCTCAAAATAGATAATGAGATAAATTGTTTTTATACTCAGCAATAATTTTAAAGGGTTTATATTTAATAGTGAATTAATTTAGAATAAACAAAGACAATTAAGAACTATACACAAAAATAAACAACAAACTCACCTTCTTTTTTAGAATTGACAAATATCAGGTGAGTATTTTTCTTTTGGTCGCTGTCAATCATATGCAATGACTGCTTTAGTTTTTCTATTTTCTAAAATGACAGTAAATTTGGTTCACTATTAAATAAGCATGCTACCACAGAAATGAAACTGAAATTTAATGAATCCTAAAAAATAACACTTTACAAAAACCCCCATAAAGTTATTATTGTAAAGGTAGGTTATTAGTTTGTACATGATAAATCATCATCATCTTTTCCTGTTTGTGCCCAAGACACATGGGGTTAATGAAATAGAGTTAATCTGTTTCAACAACCTCAGCATACAAGGGGATAATATAGTCAGAACTATGCCCCGCCTTTTTTTTGCCATAACATGAGTTTGGTACCCACCAGAGCTGGGTGGACTCAGGAAAGTTCTACTAATTTGAACCCAGATTCAAACTCAAGACTTTTGGGTTAGCAGTCTGCCTCTCTACTGCTAGGCCACACTAGACCCCTGTGTACATTACTTTTTTTCTTATAATTTAGAACAAATAAAAAAAAAACAACTATGGTCAAAATGTCATCTTAAATCAATGAGATGAAGCAGTATGATTAAAATGTAATATTGTTTCATCATTGTTCATGCAATACAAATTATTCTCAGAAATCTAAACATCAATTTCAAATACATAAGCCTCAGAGTTTTAACATTTCAATTTTTATTTTGTTTACCTTTAATTCCTTGGACAACCTGTAAAGCACATATCTTCTGTCTTGCGTGGATATCAATTTTTCTTGCTCCTCAGTAACAACTGGCTCTTCAGATTCACGTAGCTGGTGCTCACCATCCTATTAAACAAAACAATCACACTTTACCATCTAATGAACACAAAAAGCAATCTATGTTTACCAGACTCACTATTCAGATTAGTACTAGTATTGATATTGTATAAAGAATGCACTGCGTTATTAATGCTATTCAGCTATCATTAACTGATTAATAACTTATTGTTTACGTACATAATTATACTTTAGAAAATGAATAAACTATTGTAACCAGAGCTTCAATGTAACTAATTGTGGTTGTGGTATGAAAAAAACGTAAAACATTAACAGACTATTCATTCATGATATGCCAACAGAGAACTGTAAAGAAAGATTTCATATGCTGTTTTTCTGAAAGTAGTGAAAAACTATAATTTAAGTGGATAATCGTGACAATTTTACTGAGTAATGTGAATAGTGCCAATAATAAAAACTGAAATACAGTTAGAGAAGAAAGTTTAACACATCAAGAAATGAAACAAATCAACAAAATTCACCAGTTTCTGGGTCCTCGTCATGTTAAAATAAAACTCATCGGGGTTTCTGTCCTCAGCCTTTCTTTTCAGCTTTTTTATAGTTTCTTCTTTTTTATGGAAATCTCTGAAAAGGAACACAATAAGAAAACAAGTTTAAAGCAAACTTCATTGCATAAAAAATAATTCATCTACTAATTCGATAGCCATTTTAATGATACTCTTAATAAAAAGAAAGTTAAACAAAATGTGTTCAGGTTAGTCATTATTTTTCCAAAAGTGTTAAAATTAAAGAGAACACTCTTCAATTTCATAGTATATATTTTACAAAAAGGGATAATTATTCACTAAACTAGGAATTTTATTTTGACTAGAGTTAGTAAAATAATAAAAAAAGGGAAACTTACTTTGCTCTTTCTACATAATCTTTTTTCCTCTCTAGCATACCCAGATGCCTTCGCTCCTCAGGCTGAAATATTTAAAAAAATTAATTAAATGCACAGTTAGACTATAGGATAAAGCAGGGCACTAAGAGCAGTGTGGTAATACCCCCTTCTTCTTCTTATTCGTTCTTAATTTTAGTGTCCAACACAATTTAGGATACGTGTCAGCTGGTTATGCGCCATTGAGGCCATTGACTACGATTTCAGCCTGCTTTTCTTTTTGGATTTGCTTCCATAGCATTTGTCCAACCAAGAACAAACTACAAGGCAGCAGTTGTTAGATTTTGGAGTTGTCTCTCCTAGGAGATTGGCTGTCTTCAGCCTCATCTGCCCAAGGGTCTAACTCGAGACTTCATTTTAGCAACCTTGAGCTTTATCGACTAGACCACGCCGACCTGTAATACCCCCTAAATATTATTTAAATAACAATAATAGGGATAGCATGGTCGAGTTGTTGTAGAGTGATAAATTCAATAGCTATCCCGAAAATTCATAGTCAAATTCAGATCTTTGTCCGGATTCGTGAATACAGGAAATCCCTGGGCCCATCCAGCATTAGAGAATTAGTCTATTTAATTAGAGTAAGTACAGATGGCTTGTCATAGTGATGAACACTTAAAATTAAAACAGATCTTTATTGCATGATTTGATTGTCTTTAACACTTTAACAATGCTTTCTACTTATTTAGTAATAGCATTAGTTAGGCTATAGGCCCTACTATCACCAGTATACTGAGCATTGTATTATTTATTATAGGATAGGGCAAAGGTCTACTTCCTACATTGTATAATTAATAATTATTAATAATTATTAGTCTGGCGCGTTGCTTAGATGGTAGGATTGACCTCTGACCCTGAAACGTCCCATCCACGACAAATGAAAAACCTCGCAAATTCTCATCATTATTTTAATGCAAAATGCTAATAAAATAGATAATATGTCTTAGAATGCCAGAAAAAATCGAGATATTTGTTGTTGTAAATAAGGAGAGGATTTCTAGTGGAGCGCTCTCTGTAAAAACTGAACCGCCGCTAAAAACGACCGACCTCCGGGAAAAACGGCCCGACAGACTCTAAATCCTTATATAATTGAGATATTTACCTTGTATATTTACATTATTATTGATTCTGGTTTCCAAAATCTTATCCCAAAATGAGGTACCCACGCTGACATTTCTATCAGCTATTTTTAGTATCATGACGTCATTGCTACGCTAGTTGCCAGACTGAAACAACTAGTTTTTGTTTTTTACGGAATGAACTGTTAAGTCTAGTATTTTAATTATAATTCAATTGTAGCATGTGCGGAAAAAGTAAAATTATGGACATTATTATTGTATTAGTAATTTTATTAGTATATTAATTTTTTTCTTCACTGTGGGCTGACAGTTGCTGCATTCGTGACCGGTGGCTAACCTCGTTAACGCTGCGTGGCCTATTCGTTTATTGAATCAGTGATGCTCGTTCAGTGGCCTTTTTCAGAGCTAGGCCTAATTACGGGCAAATTTTAGACTTAATTGATCGGCCGTTAGCCTTTTTCATTGCTGCGTATTTTAAAAAATGCTCGTTCAGCGGCCTTTTTTTTTTTGGCGCTAAATAATCTGTTTATGGGCATTTATTTATTTATTTTTTTAAGCTAGACGTAGATCTAGTTTAAAAAATATTTTTTTTTATACAGCTGGCTGTTTAGCATGCCTGATATTTGAACTTAAAAAAAAAAATGATCGAACTTTTAAAAAAAATTACCAGAAGTAGGGAAGTAGGTCTGTTTTTCAATTTGTTTGAAAAAGGGGGGGGGAAGAGAGAGAGAGAAGTGAAGACACCGACCATCTCGTGTACGCGTGTTCATTCTATGACGTGTACTATAGGCCTGCTGAACTCACAGTGACCCGCGACCGTGGTGGGATTTTTCATCCACAGGATAGTAAACGTAAGCAAGCAATCACGCGAGTGACGATGTTTGGAGATTTTATTTTTTAAAAAAAATCACATACGTCATGTTTTCAAGATGAAAAAAAATTTAATGTAAAAAAAAAGACACTAATACCATGTATGAACCTCAGCTGCCACACTGTTGACTCAATATAAATAATGTGAATTGAGTGTAAAATGTATTTGTATTTATAAACTATCATAACTATTACTATCATATCATTTTAAGCATATTTATTATTTAAAATTAGAAAATTAGAATTTGAAATAAAAATATTTATTATCAATTATGGTCATTTGATTTATGCAGGTGTTCATTATTTCATAAAATGGTATGAATAACATGTAGAGTAGAATTTAATAAATAATAAAATAACTAGATCTAGTTTTATTATCAACCAGTTGCTTTTTGTTATTTTCCGGTGAGTAAATAACCTAAGCTGACGCAATAACCATGGCGGGAATGAAAAGCTCGTGTACACAAGTCCACGACGTAATGTTATGCCGATCGAGGAGCAAGAATTCTGTTTCGGCATACATTTTCCATTCTAGACTAATTTTCAAATTCTCTCTTTTCTCGTCAACCGAATAAGCTAGATATTTAAATGTGGTGTCAAATGTTCTCTTAAGGGGTAAGGAAGTTAATGGTGTATTTAAAATAACAGAATATTTTATTTTAAAAAATCCATAATTCAACCTAATAATATTAATAATTAAATAATTATCATTTAAAACGTAGTGTTAGTGTCGTGACACACACACACTTCACACAGTAATTCTAACTAAACTGACTGTAATAACTTACCTGCGGTCGCTCTCTATGAATTTTCTGTGTTTTATCTTTTTTCCAAGAAGACATTTTGAAGTTTATTGAATGTAGATCTAGATCTATAAATTCAAATAATTAATTTCAACTTAGAAATTTGCTTCGCCGGTTTGATCAAAATAATGATAGTCAGGCCCTACTGATTGAAACTCTCTAATCAAGAAAATGTAAAAATAAAATATTTGTTACAAGAATTATTTCCCTTAGGACTTTCATTTAATTTTCGGTTTTAAACTAGGATGAGAAAAATGTAATAATTAATATGCATATTTTAAAAAATACATATTTATAATTAATTAACTTTATAATAATTTTTAAAAGGTTGAAGTAGTAAAAATGTTATCAAATCACGAGGCGGCGTTATAAAAGTTTTATTATTGTTATAATTATTATTATTAGGTGTCAATAAATTATAAATAGACAAAATAATCAGATAAAATAAAATACTTAAAAAAAACTTTTTTAAAAACCACGTTTTTCTTGTGGACTAAAAAGTAGAAAATAACTATTTACATACATTTGATGACAAAAAACGTGGGTACGTTCACCATCAAACTTCCCGACCCATCTGCCCGACCCACGTTTTTTGTCATCAAATGTATGTAAATAGTTATTTTCTACTTTTTAGTCCACAAGAAAAACGTGGTTTTTAAAAAAGTTTTTTTTAAGTATTTTATTTTCTCCTTTTTAGTCCGTTGCTACACATGAAAAACGTGGTTTTTAAAAAGTTTTTTATATAGTTTATTTTCTACTTTATCTAATCACTTGATTAGGTATGACTTGACTAAGTGTTTTTAAATACACGGACTAAAAAAATCTTGAGCGACCGATACGCTTTAAACAGAGAAAGGGTGTAATTTACGTTGCTGGCGTGGAGATCTACTCACGAATCACGTGATCAAATCTCCCATAAACAAACAAATAAACGCGAAGCTGAGTTAAGGAAAAACGTGTTTATGTGTATTTTAGCATGCCCAGCGTACCAACCGTGTCACCGTTAACAATGTGTTACCGTGTCCGTTCTCCTTTTTAGTCCGTTGCTACATATAAAAAACGTGGTTTTTAAAAAAGTGTTTATAAATACACGGACTAAAAATCTTGAGCGACCAGGATTCGAACCTGGGTTGTCGCGGCCACAACGCGAAGTACTAACCACTATACGATCACGGCCAGCGCGCTCACATCGATTGGGGCCGAAGTAACTGTGTCAATACTTCAGTCTTGTCGGTATCTTTAGAAATCATGTCCTCAATGTTATGGTCCTTGGGGCGTAATTAAATTAAGCTAATTACGGTCACTAATTGCTAGTTTTTATGATTGCATCTGAAATTGTTAGGCGAAAGTAGCATGCATGCCAAATTTCAGGTCTCTAGAGCAATCAGAAGTGGGCTAATTTTCGATGTCAATTTTAACAACAAACATCCAAACAAACAAACGCGAAGCTGAGTTAAGAAAAACGTTTTAAAAAGAGCAACCAGGGGGATCTAAAACATAAAAAACTTGTAACATAAATAATACCAAGTAATGCATGTCGAAAATGTGCACGTGTGTGTAATCGTACATTTGTATGCAAATTTAATAACAATTAAAAGTGGGTTTGTTTAAAAGATTTAGAATCTAGTAGTAGATAGGCCTAAATTTTTATTTCAAAAAAATTCCCCAAAATCTAGCCCTGCTTTTGTGTGCGTGTGATTTTTCAGATTGCCTTTTGACCTTACGTTTAGTGAACCGTGATGACAATGGGACAATAATAATTTTACTTATTTAATGTACACCCTCAAGTGGCGTCACATGGTTGGGTGTCTCCAAGTAAAGGAGGATGTCACCTCACCCCTTCCAACAAGTTTGTATTTTCAGTTTGGTTTCACTCCTGCTCCATTCTATTTTATTATTTAAACTGGATTAAGCTTTATTTTTTTTTTCAGCAAAGTTTTACGATTTTTCGATTTGATATCACTCCCAATGTGGTGTAATTTGGGACGTCCGCCATCTTATGACGCTACTGTTCCCCCTCCACCTTAGATACTGTAATTTTTGACATTATCTAGTCGTACTTGTGTCCAGAGGCGTAGCTAGGGGAGGGCGGGTGGGGCGGCCGCCCCGGGCGCCAACCTCAAGGGGGCGCCAAAAGGGGTAGAGAAATTACACAGACAGGTATAACTATATATAGAAATAGGAGGGAGGGGGCGCAAAGTTGATAGTCCGCCCCAGGCGCCGGAATAGGTCGCTACGCCTCTGCTTGTGTCCGCACAATTGACGGCCTGGTACAGTGGATGACTGCAAGTAAATGTTATGAGTACAGTGGATGACTGCAAGTAAATGATATGAGTACAGTGGATAACTACAAGTAAATGATACGAGTACAGTAAGAAGTATGTTTTACAAAAGAAAAAAAAAAAAACAAACAAAAACAACGACGTCACATGTTTAAAATACGGAGAGTACATAACGCTAATGGAGTCATCTTCCAATTTTGGGATGTGAAGAAATGTACTATTTCATTCAAATTTGATTTATCAATACGTACGCTATGAAATGTATACAATTTTCTCGGCCTAAACTAATACAAATTTCTTTTAAACACAACATAAATACCATTAACAGCCGGGTTTTTAACGGAATCATTTAAGTCCCTTCATCAGTGTGTGTATTTAATTTGGTGTTGTGTTGACTAATAATGTTTATAATTTCGTTTTTACAATAGGTATCAGAAGCCTATGTTATTTTTAATGTGTCGGATTTTTAGCTGTTTAGTTATTTCTTTGTTTTGTCACTGATATCGTTCAACGTGTATTAAAGCCCATTGATTCTTGACCAATAACTATATTATAAATTATTTTTTCCAAACAAGTATAACATTAAAATATATATGTCTATGATTCAAGTGAAAAACGGGTACCCATGACTACTATTCCCATATAACAGAATCAGAGGCGTATCCAGGTTTTCGTTGAAGGGGGAGCGAAAAGAGCAAAAAAAAAGGCGCCGAATTTTTAACACGTTCTATATACGTGTATTATATATATATATATATATATATATATATATATATATATATATATATATATATATATATATATATATATATATATATATATATATTTATATATAGATAACCAACTCAGAGTGAACATAGTGTCAGTTTTTAGATGACTGTTCTAAACATACATATATATTACACATGTATACTGATTCAGAAATAGATTTAAATAAGTAGCAGTGGTATTATGATAATATTTTTTTTACAGAGGGGTCCATGGGGGAGGGGGGTTGTAACTGTTTCATATAATTTGTAATCGTATCACTATCGCCATAACTGTAAGAATACTACTACTTCAATTCATCGTGATGACGTTGTTGACCGTGTCAAAATTTCCCCACCGCTACGCAGCTTGCCCATAAGAAAATTTAAATAGAGGTGCCACATCAGTTGTATTTGTTTCTGTGTTGTAATTTTCAAAAAAAATAATCACACGATTCAAACTGTATATATAAAGTAATTATGTGTGAAGTTTTATGTATAACATTTTCTAATGCAATTATTTGAAAGCAAATACATTATACAGTTGCCTTAAACTTAACACCCCTCTTGCCAAGTGGTACTACCAGTAGAGGATTTTAAAAAATTCCAATGCATCGTAATGGTTATTTTTAGAATGAAAAACTGATGCAGCTGTTAATACGTGTTGTAAACGTAGAAACTACTAGACTAGTACAATAATGCTTAATTGCTGCATGAAAAGAAATCTGCCGACCAAAAATATTTTTTTAACAAATATCATTGTTTAAAACTTTGAGTTTAAAAAGTTTCCAAAAAGGCGCACTTTGCTGAAAATGGCCTGCTCCCCCCTGCGTACGCTACTGAACAGAATATTTGCAGAACTTTGCGCCATAGTAGATGTCTCCAAAGAAAGGATTTCTAAACCAATAGTGAGTAGGTTACATCAACAAGATAGGCATTTAAAACTGTATTGCCATTTAAAGATATTTTAATTTTTTAATTCAAAATTCAGTAATTATTTGTTTTGTTTGAGAAAAATAAACTTGGACTGGAACATTTTCAAGTGAACGCCATAGAAATGACAGTAATATTGCCGTCAAATCCAATATGACTGATTTTTGCAATATCGTGGTTGTGAGAATATGTTTTGTTACCGACTTCAATCTGTAAGTAAAAAAAAAAGGCACATTTTGGCGAGAAGATATGGTATTCTATAAAAGTAAGTAAGTGGTTTGACAACAGTTTTAAAAGACAAACCTCAAATCCAGAGTGTGTGTAAGTGATCGTAAGTTCAAAGTTTTGTGATTTTACGAAGGGGAATTCTGCGAAGTCAGTGCTGGTATCATAGTCCCAGAAGTCGTCTGTCTTGTGGCTCACGGAGACCACCCGGATGTAGTCTCCAACCTCAAACTTGACCTCGAAGAATAGGGCGAGCTCTTCCTTGCTTGCATTGCACGACAGGTAGATGGAAAACCTGCCACAGGTAGAAGCAAAACAAAAAAAACCTTTGAAATATTTTTTTTTCGCGGGGGGTTTTCACCCCCCCCTTCCCCTATAGAATATTGACCATTTACGACATTATTCGAGGACTATCTTTCCCATGCTATTTTCCCATTTTTCGAAAAATTTCCCCGAGTTTCTTCCAAGCATCTCTCCCCCGAAGAAAGTTTACCGCCCCCCGAAATGGAATTTATATAGAAAATATATGTTAAACAGTGTCCACCCCCCATGCATAGCCCCATTCACTTCCACAAACTTTTAATCAGACATAAATTAGTACAAGATTATACATTTGCTTATATTTAAGTTAGCATCATCTTAAAAAAAGTTTTGATCCCATTACAAATTTTAATCCATGTAGCATAAATGTAAAACTGCAATTTTTATCTTGAAAATACACCATTAACTATCGATGTAAATATTGCACTTTTACATTTAAAATGTAGCATTAAATACTGATGTAAAACAATGCATATTTAGAATGAAATTGTGCTATTAACTATCCGAATGGATCTGCTCCCCCTGTGGCCATATATAGCCTATATATATATATATATATATATATATATATATATATATATATATCCTAATTTATAAAAGCCCAATGTGCGCACATCTCTCTCTCTCTCTCTCTCTTTCTCTGTCCGCAAAAAATTTTCGCCGGACATCACGTCAGAATCGGCAGCGATATATCGAGAATTTTTTACGGACTTTTGTTGAAAATAATATGTTAGATGTTTTAAATGTATAACCACAATTTTATTTAAAGAAGAAAAATAAAAATTTAAGGCGTATTCGAATGTAGAGAAACAGTATTATTTATGCAACCGGAAAAGCATTAATATATGTGAAAAAGAACGCATAAAACTGTGACGTCACTATTGCTTATACATTAACTAATGACGTCATCTGCCGTGTTTAGAATGAAAAGAAATGAACTATTTCATTCAAATTTGATTTAGATCTACGTACACTATGAAATGTATACAATACAATTTTTCCGGCCTAAACTCATAAAATTTATTTTATGTATTTGGATTCTAGATCTAGAGATTCTAGATCTAGACTAAATCTAAATCTACGCAATAACTAGATCTAGACGTAGACGCTAAGATCTAGATTTAGACTCTAACTTCTCTAAAATCAATTCCAAAAATAAATTTCTATATTAGGACTAAACTATTTCAAGACTTATTTATTTTATACAAAATCTTTGTTTGGAACTGGCTAATTTGGGATAAAAAATTAATTTGAAAGAATAGGCATATTCGCGTAAGTTAAGATTTTAAAATACGTGTTTCATTCACCGTATTTTATAAGGTGCCTAAATAGCGGAGATGTTAGTGTACATTAAACCACGCAGGTGGTGCGGGTTCGAGACACAGCAAGTCAACTTGGTTAATGTGTTCTTTTTTATTATGCTCGGGCTAAACTTTAAAAAAAAATTCTTTGTCGGGTGTCCGATAGGGCACTTCCCGGCGCCGCAGGCGCTTCAAATTTGGCATGATCTTGCCTTGGTGCGACAGAACACGGGGGCCGGTTGGCCGAAAAGTCTACGATGTGGGGGTCAAAACTGACCTCGACTGACCGGTACCTTATATGAGCTATAAATCGAAAAAAAATGTCCACGGAGGAACCTCTTCATAACTCCTGAGGTCGTAGACCGACCTCCGGGCGAATTAATTAAGCATGCAAATTCTCAATGTTTTCGAAAGCCTAAGCGAAGCTGGGCAGCATGCCTAGTATATATATATATATATATATATATATACATATATATATATAAATATATATATATATATATATATATATGTATATATATATATATATATATATATATATATATATATATATATATATATATATATATATATATATATATATATATATATATATATAATTTGTAAAAAAATTGTGCTCTTTACTTTTTTCGCCCCCCACCCCTCCTTCCACCTTACACCGAAAACCTGCATACTACCAATGTACCTGTCTGAATTCTGCGGCACATTAGCTGAAACGATGAGTTCGTCTCCCACAAAAACACCATCAAACTCAAAGTACCTGGGCTAAAATTGGGGTTGGGGTGAAAGAGGAGTGAAAGTTAAACAAATAATCTCGTTTAAAACTGTAAAGAACAAAACAATCGTATAATTTTGTACTTGAATTGTATTACATTTATATTGTATTTTTAAAATTAATTACTGATTTCGTGAGGTTGGCGTGTTTATATGTTATCATTGGATGGCCTAATTAATGCTCAGAGGATCTGATATGTTAATTACAATTACATTCAACTTAAAAGATGTAAATAAGACATTCTTACGTACAGGTTGGTCAATCTGAAGGTAAATAGAAATACGTTTACGTATGGTGAATGTCAGACAATCGTATAAGATTTATAAGACATGTTTGGTAAAGATCGTAAGCCATATAATATTAGATAAACATATCATAAGATAAGATAAGAAACTAGTATAAGTGTACGTGGGGCTTTGACCACAAGTGCATTGACCATAGACGTTTGACGACAGCGGGACTTTGACCGTATGGGTCTTTGACCATAGGTGGTTTGACCATAGGGTCTTTGACCATAGGGGCTTTGACCATAGGGGCTTTGACCACAGCGGAGCTTTGACCATAGGGGGTTTGACCATAGGGGCTTTGACCATAGGTGATTTGACCATAGGGGCTTTGACCATATGTGGTTTGACCATAGGGGCTTTGACCATATGTGGTTTGACCATAGGGGCTTTGACCATAGGGGCTTTGACCATAGGAACTTTGCAACAGGTGGAGCGTCCATATGGGGCGTTTGGTCGCATGAGCTTTGTCCATGCATGATAATGATAAATTTAACATGGGATAAAAAGTTACGTAAATATTCAATGCTGTAATAACGCTATTATTCACCATATTGTATAAATACAAGTCATCTAGAAGACTCGTCAAAACCATGGAGAATCTTGAAGAATATAACTCGTCTAAAAAAGGTAAAAGGACTTTATTGTATCCTTGACATAGATTTTGGTTTCACAGGGAACAGTCCGTAATGGACGCTGTACGTGTCTTATGCATTTTCATTTGTGAACCTTTATACCCGTAGATCTATCACAACTTATTATGTTTATTAATGAATCTACCCGTAGATCTATCACAACTTATTATGTGTATTAATGAATCTAGTTAATTTCATTGGGCTAAAACATGTCAGGGTGTAGATGAAACAAACAGTGCGACAAGATTAATTAATTAAATTAATTTCGACATTGTCCTAGCATAAAATGATAATCACAACTCGTTTCTTTTTGTTTTGAGAACTTACAATATATTTGATCTTGGTTAATGTGACATTTCCCTGCACCGTCAAGTAGCGAGTATAGTACAATGGCATTGTGAGGGTATAATTTGCGTATACCATGTCAGCGACCGAAATCTGAATAAAAGTATTTCAGAAAACACACTTTATGAATGACGAGAAAACAGACTTTATTATGAAAACAAACTGTATGACTAATGAGAAAACAAACTTTATGAGCAATGGAAAAACAGACTAATGAGAAAACAAACTTTATGAGCAATGGAAAAACAGACCTATTAGCGAGGAGACGAACACAAAACATGTCTTCTAGTAAATTTACCTAATCTGATTTAACAATCGATAACGCAGAGATAGTAGTGTACATATGTTTGTATGATCTGCGTAGTGTAGAAATATATGGTCAGTTTGAGGTACGGCTGCGTTAACCTCCCCATACATGAGTCACGTACCCATCTAGGGGGTCGGCGCGGTCGAGTCAGTAAAGCTCATGGTTGCTAAACCCAAAAGTCTCGAGTTCGAACCCTCGGGCAGATGAGGCTCGTTAGCTAGGGACAGCCACTCTTCTAGGAGAGACAATTCCAAAATCAAACAACTGTTGCCTTGTAGTTTGTTCTTGGTTGGACAAAGGCTATGGAAGCAAATCCATAAAGAAAAGCAGGCTGAAATCGGAGTCAATGGCCTCTATGGCGCATAACCAGTTGACACGTAATCCTTAATTGTGATAGAAGCATTGTCGAGTCGGCAAATCATTGATAAATTCCAAAAATTCTCGAGTTCAAAACCCTCTTGCAGATAAGGCTTGATCTCTCCCAACACTAAAAATTAAGAACGAAGAAGAAGAAGAAGATGACGTACCCTTCTCATTCTGATACTTGAAATGGGTACTTCAGTCATGAGTTTTACCTTTCCTCACTAGTCAGGTAAATGTTGTTGACTTACTTGTAAACGAGAGGCTGATAATGCGATATTAAGGCGAAAACGTTGGCCTAAGTTGATGGGCATTGGTCCCCCAGAGCTTTCCTCCTTTGACCAGTGCAAACCTTTGGAATTTCGGATGATTTTACCCTTTGTAAAGCTGACTTTCAGCGTCAGGGGCATGTACAGATAACAGCTGATGGTTCTACACAGGCTGATGGTAAAGCTGAAAGGTAAGACTTTTGTTATAGTGGTCAGTTTGGTAAAGGTAAGACTTTTGTTATAGTGGTCAGTTTGGTAAAGGTAAGACTTTTGTTATAGTGGTCAGTTTGGTAAAGGTAAGACTTTTGTTATAGTGGTCAGTTTGGTAAAGGTAAGACTTTTGTTATAGTGGTCAGTTTGGTAAAGGTAAGACTTTTGTTATAGTGGTCAGTTTGGTAAAGGTAAGACTTTTGTTATAGTGGTCAGTTTGGTAAAGGCAAGACTTTTGAGAAAGCGGTCAGAATGGTGTTTCAAATCATTGTTTTATGTTCAAAACATTTTGTCCGAAACATTGCCTTGTACAACACAAATATTGATTAAAAAAAAAATAAAAATGTCTGTCAGTTTTAAAACCATACGATCAATACACCCTAAAGCTGTTGTAAGTCAGTAGCACAGGCTACAATAGTTCTGATTTAAGTTTTAGCACAGATGTTGACAAATGCAGGTAAATAAGACAAAATGTTTGCCTCACTCCTTGGCTACAGACGGCACTGTGCCGGTTATTTCAATTCTGTTCACCATAGACGCAGATACAGGCACTGCTTTGGCATAGGGCATCTTGTACTAGAGATAGAGAGTGAGAGAACATTTTTTGTGAACTATAATATATATATATATATATATATATATATATATATATATATATATATATATATATATATATATATATATATATATATATATATATATATATATATATATATATATATATATATATAAGAAGTGATTATTAAATATGTATATAAGGTGATTATTAAATCCATATTTATATGTTATACTATAATCTCTATTACCCAGGTTTTTTAAAATCTCAACATTGAATTTTAATTGAGTTGAAACCTAGTTATTTTATTCTTCGGCTTCCGTCGGAAAAGGGGTCGTCCCCCCCCCGTTAATTACCCCACTTCATGGACCAAAGCTAATTAAAATAAAGCATTGATTCCAGCTATATATAGGGACAAGCCTAATTAATTTTTTTTTATACTCCTGTGTAGTTTAAAGTGAGCTTAAACACTGCCACACATCCAGGTGTAGATGTTTTTAGATTAATTTACTTCGTTTAATTTAAATATCTGACATTTCGAGGGCCCACGTCCAGGCTAAAACAAATGCTTAGATAAATTTACTTTGTTTAATTTAAATTTCTGACACTTCGCGGGCACCAACAGTGTCAGCAACACAGCAGACAGCAGCCATGTTTTGACCACCACATTTTGGGACGCCATCAACAACAGCTCTTTCAACCTGTTGGCCAAGTGAACACTCACCAAAATTTAAAGGAAAATAATTTTTTTTTAGTTTACGTTCATGATAATCTAAAAGTAAAATAAAATCCTTAGTTTACATTCGTGAACATTTAAAAGTAAATTAGAATCCTTAGTTTACATTCATGAACATTTAAAAGTAAATTAGAATCTTAGTTTACATTCATGAACATTTAAAAGTAAATTAGAATCTTAGTTTACATTCATGAACATTTAAAAGTAAATTAGAATCATTAGTTTACATTCATGAACATTTAAAAGTAAATTAGAATCATTAGTTTACATTCATGAACATTTAAAAGTAAATTAGAATCATTAGTTTTTGAAACTTCCTGACCCCTCCCTTCTCAGCACAGAGTGCGAATTTTCACGACGTACTGACCCTCATCATGGGACGGAGTGGTCTAGCGTAAGTCTCGAGTTCGAATCCGGGTTCAAGTCAGTAGACTGTCCCTGAGTCCACCCAACTCTGATGGGTACCTAACTCACGTTAGGGAAAGTAAAGGCGGCTGGGCATAATGCTGTCCACACTATCTCTTCATTTGCCGAAGTCACAGAAACAAGTGAACTCTACTTCACTTGCCCCATAGACCGTCAGGTTTGAAAGGAAAACTTTTACTGACCCCAATCGGCACAAAGGGAGTGGAGTGAGTTTATAGAATTTCCTGACCCCCCCTCAGCCTCAAGAGTGTGGCGTCTTGAACCCCTCTACTCTGAAGTTTTGAGTCTACCTATCTTCCAATAAGGTGAAAATTTGACTTACCCAAGCTAGCAGATAACTGAGATGTCGTGTGGTGTGTGGTTCTGACCAAATTTTATCTGCCAGTAAAACCAACACCCGCCAATACCTGTTTGTTGACGTCTGCTAACCCGCCCGTTGTACGTGGCGACAAGACCTGTTCATCAAGTGTGTTAAGGCTGACATTTGATTATGTTTCGCAACTGGCTTTGGCTGAATTAAACCAGGCTAATCCTCTGATTTCAAACTGATGAGAAGCCTGGCACATTGATGTTAATTATGTTATATCGTTTATAAGAAGGTAAAGTAAATAACGGCTATAAGTGAAATACAGGCGTTCAATATCTGTAAGAATAAAGGTTAGTCTAATGTTCTTATAAATATATGGAGGATCAAAATGTGTTGGAATATCGATACAATGCAATGTCTGTCAAGGTAAATCTAAGTTAGATAATATACAAATCAAGTCTGTGTGTCTTTCTGAATATAGAATTGTCCATCTAAATGGATATTTCCTTAATATGTATGTCTTTATAATATACCTACATTACTACCTAAACATACACTGAATATAATTTTTACTTAAATAAAAAAACTTCTTAAACGTACTGCCTCAACATACATCTAAACATATCTTATTAAACATACACTCAAAGATCACCAACATTTATTTACTAAAATACAGACTAATTTTTAGATATATCTACATACATAGATCCATTTTTCGTAAATATTTAATAATTTTTGTTTTTAAAGGAGGAAAGGTTTCAAAGAAGAACGCAAGAGGGCTGTGAGGGTTATACTTGTCATGATGGGCTGGATCACTTGCTTTGTATCTTCAGCTAATGCGCTCTCCCTTATGACTTTATATTCCATCCCTCATTAAATAAATGAGTACCACAAATATGCGAATTGGTTTTTTTTTCTATTGTGGGTTCTACTTCATCCCTTTGCAGATGTAGCTCATAAACTGATTACATGTCTAGATGTCTTTTTGCAAGCTTTTACTTAGTTTACAATATTAGTTTGTTTGTTTGTGAGTTTTGGCAAATCTTAAAACTTTTAGCCCACTTCTAATGCACTGATCTCGTTGAAGCTTTCCAGATATCTTCTTCTTCGATGACAATACAAGAATATATAATTTTTAATCTAATTAGAGAGACGATTAAAAAAAAGTTTTTTTTAGTCAATTCTTGAAATATGTATGAACAGGATGACAAATAAAAATACTAAAACGTTTTTAGACTACAATTTTATTGGCGATATTAAACATTGAAACTAAACATTAACTAGTCAATTTTGCACCAACGTTTTTTCTTTGTAATCCGGTTTATGATTTCTCATTTTAAGGGAGAAGATAATTAGGCTTAATTAGAATATTAGCATGTTTGTAGTTAAAGTAATTAAACGACTTAATTATGTACTGTAATATTGCTATATGGTTATTCTACCCACATTGATATAATGAAAATGTTGTAGGTCTAAATATTGTATGTTTTAACAACTGTTCTACATATAATTTACAAATAAAAAAAAAACTCATTTCATATCAATTTTAAAATATGGTTTAAACATCTGTTCGCGTTTCTTTTAACACCTGTTTTAATGTTTTTAACAAATGTTAGGAAATCTGTTTAGGAACTGCTTAACAGCTGTTTTAACACACCTGACGTGTTTAAACATTTGTTTTAACATACTGTACCAACTGTTTTAACAGTAGTTTAAATATCTATTTTAACACCTATTTTAACATTTGTTTTTACATTTAAACATTCTGTTTAATTATCTGCTTTACTCTATAGATAGTTTTATCTTAAACACAGTGGCGTAGCGAGGTCGGGTGTCACCCGGTGCGGCACTTAATGGTGTCACCCCCCAGAGGCATAGAGAACCTTCCCAGGGACAAACTTTCAAATTTTCGATTTGCACCCCCCCCTCGAGTTTTTCTCTATATATTTTGCTATTTTTTTACCTTGGTGTCACCCCCCTAAATGGTGTCACCCGGTGCGGTCCGCACCCCCCGCCCCCCCCCCCCCCCCCGCTACGCCCCTGCTTAAACATACTCTTTCATATAACATCTTTATAATTGGTTAAAAAGATTCAGTTTATGTTAAATTTAGTCTTCAAATCCATTGCCTAATTATATGGCTAATATATCAACAAAATAATGGCAATACGTGCATAATAATACTTGTTTTCTATCAGAGAAAGATAGAACGCTAAAACAATAAACACCTTGTTTTATATTAGAGAAAGATAGAACGCTAAAACAATAAACACCTTGTTTTATATTAGAGAAAGATAGAACGCTAAAACAATAAACACCTTGTTTTATATTAGAGAAAGATAGAACGCTAAAACAATAAACACCTTGTTTTATATTAGAGAAAGATAGAACGCTAAAACAATAAACACCTTGTTTTATATTAGAGAAAGATAGAACGCTAAAACAATAAACACCTTGTTTAACCTTTCCTTGGTTGTGTGCTTGGTGCTGGTCTAGTCGTGGCTACAACTAGCGGAGCAAAAAAGTTTTAAAACCTTACTTGAGCAATATATCAAATTAAAATCATCTGAGACAACAAAATTACTCGACAGCAACAAACAAACAAACAAACAAACAAATTTGTAACAAGGGCGTGTAGTGGTCCCACTATAAGTCATGTGATCTATACTCATCCAGCAACGTTAAATTAACTAAAAATTTCGAATGGCATTTTTGTTTATATTCTGTTTCTTATTTAGACTACGTTAGAAACGAATAAAGTGTTTGTTGAAAGTGTAAATTAATTGTTTGAGATTTCAAGAGGTTGGCTAGATGTGGCTTCCAGGAAAAAAAATTAATTAAAAATGTCTGTAACTCGAGGCAATTATAAAAAATTTAATGAGATGAACGTCACTTTTGTAGACACAGTTGTAGGTGATGCCGCAAAAGAAACTTTTGTTATCTAGTTTTTAAAATCAAACATGTTTTAAAAGATGCGAATACAGTGCAACGATTCTCTTAAGTGAGTTCATAATGTTATGAAAATTTTATCATATCTAAATAAAATTGCATTTTCAATATCTGTATGATTAAAAAAAATCAACTGACCTTCATAAGCGCAGTTGTATTTTGCAGCTTTGGGATTTCGCCCGTTACAGCATTCGTTTTTCACCTGATATGTGCCGTTGGTCTCGTAGCAGTGGTCAGCGGCTGGGACGTTCACACATTCACAGTCGTTGTCTGGGTAGAGAGAGGTAGAACGGTAGAGTTATAAGGATTAGGGTTCCCCGGAGACTGTACTTCTACAAGTATTGACGCCCTCAGTAATATTAAAGGGAGAGGGTCATCCATTTATGACGTCCACATGGGGGGGGGGGGGGGAGTGTGAAAAAATCGACTTTTTTGGATGCGTGTGGACTGGGAGGGGGGTGGGGATGGGGGTGGGGACGTCTACATGTTGAATATAACATCGACGTCCTAACAATTTTAAATAAACATAAAACTCTTATCCTGCTTAAAACAACAATATCGCAGCGTGTAAATAAAGCACTGGATTTACACCTACACCGGGGTCATCTATAAAATAAAATTAAAAATAAAATAAGTAAATAAGTAAAATATAAAATGAGTAACGTCAAGATATTATTTAACGACTTTCACCTCCCCCCCCTTCCCGTCACTAATCTCCATTAAAAACCAGGATCCAACATCTAACATGACGTCACACCTCAGCTTATCACAACTCTCAAAACTGTAATTAAAAAAACTTCAATTTTTTTCTAAAATATTTACTGGCTATATATATATATATATATATATATATATATATATATATATATATATATATATATATATATATATATATATATAGCCAGTATATATATATATATATATATATATATATATATATATATATATATATATATATATATAAATTCCTAAAACACTAAAGAGGCGTATACTAACTATCATTAAAACTGCAGTAGTGTTTTCCCTTTTCGTTATCACTGCTCTCTGGATCACAGCAGGAGTCCTTGCCCACAAAGTAACGTGAATTCAGGTCACAAAATGGCAGATACTGTCTGTTGGCCAATGGACATTTACAGACGCGTCCTGTGTTTTGAGATAATTTAAACAAAATCTGCTGGGTTAGTTTTATTGAACATAAAGTCAAAACTATTATAAAAATTAAAAAGTTTTGTTCCTTTGTATTTATTTAGATTATTCTGTGAATATATTAGATTATTGTGTTTAACTAATTTATGAGATTTTGGCCAGGACGAATATATATTCTGTAGTCTTTGCTCTTCTCGTTAGCTCCGTGCATCGTTTTTAAAGATTACTTTTCTGACGTTATTTGAACTTAGAAAGGAGAAGACGTGTTAACAGGAGCTACCTTTTCGTGGCTTGTGTGCTTTGTCCCTGGTCATTACTGCAGCTCCGGCCACTGATACAACGGCCAACACCACCAACAGCTTGAGGCTATGTCCCCTCATTATGTACGTGTTGTTGTCACAAAGGTTTCAAAGTTGAACTCGGGGCTTGTAAGAAAATTGAAATTAATATACCAAAGTGTCTAAACAGTATCTTAGACAAACTATTTTAAACAAAATATATCAGACAAAATGTTTCAGAAATATATTTAAGATATAGATCTCACACAAAATATCTCCGACATAATAACTGAGACAGAATATCTAGGATATAATATGTCAGAGAAAATACCTTAGAAAATGTTCTCACACTAATGTTCTCACACAATTAGCTAAGACAAAATATCTCAGATCAACTATTTCAGATCAATTACAACAGAAATTGTCTTCTATGTACTCAAAACAAAAATTATTAAAATAAATTCCATTACACTCTTGACTCATTCCCCTTTACACCTTGTGGAGCAAAGAGCTCCACCATAATCTTCGACTTTGTTCTGCCCCCCTCCCCCCTGTGAGTTTTGCAGACTGCCAAGACACCCGTGCGGTCTTAAGTTCTCCAAGAAGACTCCGATTCCATGTCTGTCTTGAGCGCTCTCTCTCTTTTCCCCTTTCTTTGTTTTCCACTCAAGCGCTCGAAGTGTCATATTTGTATTCGCCATTCGCAGTGCTTGCCCCACCCAGTGCCACGTCATCTTTCTTATCTGTGATGCCATAGACTCCTGTCGTGTCCTGCTCCAAAAGT